CAAATGTTTCTCACCGATCTGACCTTTGTTTGTTTGTCTAGTTGAACAGATATAGCTCGAAAACCATTGTTTTAAGGAAAGGAAAGTTAAGTTTTAACCGTTGGAATTTTGGACTTCCACGCATTTTCATGAAGAAGCTGTTTCTGGTCGCTTCTTTGCGTGGAGTGGCGCCGATTTTCATTTGCATGCCATCGGCCAGGAATGCTTTACCTCAAAGTCAAGATCGACCGCAGCTATGTGACAAGAATAGTGTAGAGTCTAATGCTTCCTGTCCACCAAGTGGCATTCATTTATCAACCTGGAAAACGTAAGGGTGAATGGCCCGGTTGGGGCTCGAAGCCTGGACCTCGCAATTCTGAGTTAGACGTTCTATTGACCGAGCAACCCCTGTTTTGCTTCAAAGCAGTACATCGAGGTTAACACTACAGTCCGCTGCTTATCACCTCACAATGAGTTATGATGCAATGTTACATCCTTCGAAGAATCGATCATTCGGCGGGCGTTTCACTGTAACATTTCTCGCCTCAGTGCTCCACATTTGTGTCAGGGAAATTTTATGCAAAAACAGACACTGCGGAAAATCCGATTGATTACTAACGGTTCGAAACGGTGGCCGCCCGCTGCAAATGTGAAGTCGGCATTTTTGTGCCTCGCAACTGTTCGAGTTACGACCGGTGTCGGTGACCTCCTTGACGCCGAAGATTACAGTCCTTTCTTACACCGCATTAGGCTGCTTCGAGTTTTTGTCACCTTCGAGTGAAAGGCAGCCATGGACTCGACTGCGACAAAATCCATTATCCATTGAATAGCGCTGCCTTCAACGCAACGCTTAAGACCTTACAACGGATGTCCATAAATTAGCCATGCAAAATTTAACTTTGGTGGTGTCATGTAACGACGGGGCATATAACCACACACTTTTGCATCGTCTACTACATTTATTTGCATAAAATGCAACTGGATCAGTAGACAGTAGATACTCCTTTATAACACTGAAGATGTGATGGTGAAGTTAAAGAACGAAATGCGCATTTGTTGCCGTACTTCGTGGATCATCCAATGCAGTGTTCGAACTGCTTTTCACTCCAACAGCCAGAATTATTTTATTTTTCACAATATCTGGCGTGTTACTCGATGGAAAACGTAGTAAATGTTTTCATGCCTCTTTCTGACGATGTTATCCCATTTATCTACTCAAATAAACACTAAAATGGATAATAGGTGATAGCAGAGTAATTATATAATGTATTGGACTATGACATAGTACTCATGATGATTGATGTATTTTACTATTGCAATGTTATAAATTAATTTCACATAAATCACCAGAGCGTCTCGTTTATTTAAATTCATCCAAAAACGAAGATTTTTAGGGCTATGCATATTTGCAGACTGCATATGCTGAGGTGAATGGTTCATTGCAGGTAAAGAGTGCTACAGAAGTTTTAAGAGCTGATTGATCTGAACGAACAGGTTTGTTTGTAAACGACTGCCGGACCTCAGTAACTATATGTAAAACATCTGCAAGTAATCATAAATTTAAAGGTAGCTGAAACCTTGCTGTGTAAAATCTGACTTCATATTTGCGCTCTGCTTTGTAAAAATATGTATTTGGAAGTATCAGGTAAACTG